GAACAATATTGTTAAGAACAAAATTTGCTACAACTTTTGTTATAAAAGTTTTTTAATAACATGCTCCGATTTCCAAATGTTATCATTAGCTAATAGTAAAACAAAAAATTCATTAAATTATCAAATTTTCGCAACCGGTCGATAAAAAAAATGGTGACAAAATTAATTGCAATCAGTGAAGATTTTTACATAATATTTTTACGACGTCGCGTCTTTATTTCTTTATGTAGGTAAAGAAAGGCGCGACGTACTGTCTAGAATGCATAAAAAATTGTCCTGCTTTTAATTTTTGTATTAAGATACGTAATATATCTCAAATTTAAGCTAAATGATTATATTTTGAGATAGGATTAAAAAAATATAGGGTTTGATGATATACTTTTGGAGAAAAAAATTTCTGAAGAAAAATTGAATTCATCAAAATTTCATATTTTCCTATTTATCTCGATATCGACGCATCTGAGAACAAATATACGAGAGAGCAATATTGTTAATAACAAAATTTGCAACAATTTTTGTTCTAAAAGTTTTTTTATAACATGCTTTGATTCCCGAATATTACCATTAGCTAATAGTAAAACAAGGAAATTCAACTTTTCAAATTTTCGTATTTTTCTCGATATTGACGCATCTGAGAGCAAATATACAAGAGAGCAATATTGTTAAGAATAAGACTAACTACAATATTCGTTTCAAAAGTTTTTTTATAACATGCTCCAGTTTCCAAGTGTTACCATTAACTAATTTGTAGTACAGCGAAATTCATCAAATTTTCATATTTTCGTATTTTTCTCGATATTGACGCATCTGAGGACAAAATTGAAAGAGGGCAATATTGTTAAGAATAAAATTTGCTATAACTATTGTTTCAAAAGTTTTTATGTAATATGCTCCGTTTCTCAAATATTACCATTATGCAATAAATGCAATAAATTCATCAAATTTTCATATTTTCGTGTTTTTCTTATACAAATACTTATTACGTATTTGAGAGCAAAAATGAATCTGGCATTTGATGTGTGTTTCTTTCTATAATAAGTAATACATTTTATGATGAAGTTTTTTTGTAAAGTCGAAAGATGTCAATGTTTAATTGTAGCAGAAATGGAAAATCTTTGTTAAACTTTAAAAAATCATAACAACTTTATTTATTGGAACTAAGAAATGATATTTTTTTTAAATTAAAGCTTAAACTTTAATCTTCATTTCTATGTATAATAAGTAATACGTTTGATGATAAAGTTTGTTTGCAAAATCGAAAAATATCAATCTTTAATTATAGCAAAAATCGAAAATATTTGTTAAATTAAAAAAAAAACCTAGCTAGAATATAATCACAATTGAGCTATATCTGGTTATGGATTGTGTATTCTTCCATCATTATAAACAATTTATGTTCAACATTTATCAATCCTAGTTCCTTCGTAATATATTGGGTCTCCAGTTATATGCCTTTTTCTAGAAAATATGTATCACCTCTAAAAATCTTGACAACACTTTAGTAGCTTCATTAAGTTGGTGTAGGCAACATTTCACCTCCTTTGCACCTGCATAGATTGCTATGTGATCTGCATAATATATCGCAGTAACAATTAAAATTTAATTAAAATTTGTTTTTGTTATTTTTATTAAATTCTTTATTTTTTAGCAACTACAATCCAATAACTGCTAATAATATTCCAATTTTTTGACCTTCTTTATCTTAACAATTATTATTGTGAAAACCATAGTACAAATCAGAGTTGCCAACCTATGTCGACCAAATGTCGGTAAAAAATCGGTAGGTTTAAGTACAAAGTCAGAAATCGTTGCAAATTTTATTGTTAACAATATTGCTCTGTTGCACTTTTGCTCTCAGATGCGTCAATATCGAGAAAAACACGAAAATATGAAAATTTTACGAATTTTTTTGTTTTACTAGTGTTAATGGTAATATTTAGTAATCGGAGAATGTTTTCAAAAAACTTTTAGAACAAAAGTTGTAGATAATTTTGTACTTAACAATATTGCTCTCTTATACATTTGCTCTTAGATGGGTCAATATTGAAAAAAATACAGAAATTTAAAAATTTGATGAATTTTCTTGTTTTACTATTAGCTAATGGTAACATTTGGGAATTGGAGCATGTTATCAAAAAACTTTTAGAACAAAAGTTGTAGCAAATTTTGTTCTTAACAATATTGCTCTCTTGCATATTTGCTCTCAGATGTGTCAATATCGAGAAGAACACGAAAATTTAAAAATTTGATGAATTTCTTTGGCAGCGCAAGAGCGGGCTCTTAGCAAAATTTAAGAAATACGGCTCGACTCGAACCAGCCACACACTTGACTTCGCCTTTTAAACAAGTATTGTAAGGCGACTTTTAAAAATAACTTTTATAAGTTACGCATTATTGTAAAGTTATATATAAAATAATATAAACGATATTGTGTCGAAATCGCGATAGGGACAATAAAGTAAGAAATTATTTTAATAATTTCTTATTCATGATCTTTTCCTTTTAATATCTTCCTTTTTTTGAATCAGTACCTTTTATTTTGTTTCCGAACCGTTTTCGAACAAACATCCTTGTTTTATTATTAGCTAATGGTAACATTTGGGAATCGGAGCATGTTATCAAAAAACTTTTATAACAAAAGTTGCAGCAAATTTTGTTCTTAACAATATTGTTCTCTTGTATTTTTGCTCTCAGATGCGTCAATATTAAGAAAAATATGAAAATTTAAAAAATGGATGAATTTCCTTGTTTTACTATTAGCTAATGGTAACATTTGGGAATCGGAGCATGTTATCAAAAAACTTTTATAACAAAAGTTGTAGCAAATTTTATTGTTAACAATATTGCTCTCTTGCACTTTTGCTCTCAGATTCGTCAATATTGAGAAAAATACGAAAATTTAAAAATTTGATGAATTTTCTCGTTTTACTATTAGCTAATGGTACCATTTGGGAATCGGAGCATGTTATCAAAAAACTTTTAGAACAAAACTTGTAGCAAATTTTGTTGTTAACAATATTGCTCTCTTGTATATTTGCTCTCAAATGCGTCAATATCGAGAAAAATACGAAAATTTAAAAATTTGACGAATTTTTTTGTTTTGCTTTAGCTAATGGTAATATTTGGGAATCGGAGAATGTTATCAAAAAATTGTTAGAACAAAAGTTGTAGCAAATTTCGTTCTTAACAATATTGCTCTCTTGTATATTTGCTCTCAGATCCGTCGATATTGAGAAAAATACGAAAATATGAAAATTTGAACAATTTATTTGTTTTCTAGTGTTAATGGTAACATTTGGGAATCGGAGCATGTTATCAAAAAACTTTTAGAACAAAAGTTTTAGCAAATTTTGTTACTAATTTGATATATTTGCTCTCAAGTGCGTCAATATTGAGAAAAATACACAAATTTAAAAATTTGATGAATTTTTTTGTTTTGCTTTAGCTAATGGTAATATTTAGGAATCGGAGAATGTTATCAAAAAATTGTTAGAACAAAAGTTGTAGCAAATTTTGTTCTTAATAATATTGCTCTGTTGTATATTTGCTCTCAGATGCGTCAGTATTGAGAAAAATTTTAAAATTTGATGAATTTTCTTGTTTTACTATTAGCTAATGGTAACACTTCGGAATTGAAGCATGTTATCAAAAAACTTTTAGAACAAAAGTTGTAGCAAATTTTGTTACTAATTTGATATATTTGCTCTCAAATGCGTCAATATTGAGAAAAATACAAAAATAAAAATTTTTATGAATTTCCGTATTTTACTATTAGCTAATGGAAATATTTAGGAATCGGAGAATGTTATCAAAAATTTTTTAGAACAAAAGTTGTAGCGAATTTTATTATTAATAATATTGCTCTCTTGTATTTTTGCTCTCAGATGCGTCAATATTGAAAAAAATACACAAATTTAAAAATTTGATGAATTTTGTTGTTTTACCTTTAGCTAATGGTAACATTTGGAAATCGGAGAAAGTTATTAAAAAATGTATAAAACAAAAGTTGTAGCAAATTTTGTTCTTAACAATATTGTTCTCTTGAATTTTTGCTCTTAGATGCGTCAATATTGAGAAAATTACGAAAATTAAAAAATTTGATGAATTTTCTTGTTTTACTATTAACTGATGGTAATATTTGGAAATCTGATTATATTATCAAAAAATTTTTAGAACAAAAGTTGTTGCAAATTTTGTTATTAACAATATTGCTTTCTTGTATATTTACTCTCAGATGCGTCAATATTGAGAAAAATACGAAAATTAAAAAATTTGATGAATTTTCTTGTTTTATTATTAGCTAATGGTAATATTTGGGAATCGGAACATGTTATCAAAAAACTTTTATAACAAAAGTTGTAGCAAATTTTATTCTTAACAATATTGCTCTGTCTTATTTTTGTTCTCAGATGCGTCAATATTGAGAAAAATACGAAAATTTAAAAATTTGACGAATTTTTTTGTTTTACTTTAGCTAATGGCAATATTTAGGAATCCGAGAATGTTATCAAAAAATTGTTAGAACAAAAGTTGTAGCAAATTTTGTTCTTAACAATATTGCTCTGTTATATTTTTGCACTCAGATGCGTCAATATTGAGAAAAATTTAAAAATTTGATGAATTTTCTTGTTTTACTATTAGCTAATGGTAACACTTCGGAATTGAAGCATGTTATCAAAAAACTTTTAAAACAAAAGTTGTAGCAAATTATGTTATTAATTTGATATATTTACTCTCAAATGCGTCAATATTGAGAAAAATACGAAAATTAAAAATTTTATGAATTTCCGTATTTTATTATTAGCCATAGGTAATATTTAGGAATCGGAGAATGTTATCAAAAACTTTTAGAACAAAACTTGTAGCAAATTTTGTTCTTAATAATATTCCTCTAGTGTATTTTTGCTCTTAGATGCGTCAATTTCGAGAAAAATACGAAAATATGAAAAATCGGAGTTTTTCTTGGAGCAGAGAGGGAAGGATTTTAGACACAAACACACTTCGTTTTAACCGTTTTTATTTGATTTAATCTCCATTTCCTATTTTTTGTACCTCTCTCTTTACAATATTCTTATTTAGACTTTCTTTTTATTAATCGTAATAAAATTATGTACAACTTTAACGCGACCAAACACGTGCTTGTACATACTCATTGTGCACTACTTATTTTTTTTAATCATTTTTGCATTAATTAATTTCTCTTTAAACCAACAAAAAAGAAATTAAAAAAACGTCCTCCTCCTCCTCCTCCTCCTCTCCATGGGTGGATTTCTTTTTTGGCAGTGATTCATATCATTTTTTTTTATTTATTTATTACTTAATATCCCTCTTTTCAATCCAAATTTACTCCTCATCTAAATTCGATATGTATTCCTTCTTTTTCGACCTGTCACACCAAGACCTCCATTCTGGCCCCTTTTCGCATCACGCGAATTTGACCATGTTGTACTTCCGGTAAACCCACACACTTAAACGTGAACGTAACCGTTTGAGAACCAAAGTTAGCTTCAAACCTGCATCATTAAAATGTTATCATATCTTAAATGATGGCAAAAAAGATATTTACTCCGTGGTTATGTTGACTTCCGGGGCTTTTCCAAGCGCGTTTTGAACGACGAGGAAGAGTTTGGTGACGATTTCGATTACGTGGCCCGTTTGGAGCACGAAATCGCCCTTTTTCCGACTCATATCGCCCTGGAATAAGCACCCCGTGGGTTCAGATAACGCGCTTGAGGTGTCTGAGGTGACTAGAGGCGATGACTAAGTCGTTTTTTGCAACAAAAAGCAGAGTACTCGTTGGAACTACCTATTAATCTAGCTGCCTAAAGGGTAAAGGGGTGGGGAAGTACTTACGGCTTTAATATGGACGACGGCGACGTCGTCTAAGAACGGCGATAAAGAAATGCGGTATATCTCCGTGGCAGGCACTCTATATTTAATCTGTAAGGTACGTTGGTCCAGAATAAGCATGGATCTTGTTGAGACAACAAGGAGAATTGGCACGAACTAAAATTGAGGAAATAACCCGCTTAGTTTTTCAATTACATCCCTATCACGAAAAAACTCAAAAATCGATTTTTGGTGCCTCAAATCGATCGTAACTCCTAAACTAAAAGCGATGGGGCAAAACTTTCTTAATAAATTTTGTTCGTTATAAACCTTAAAAGATATGTTTCTTAATCGATTTTATTCCAACTCTCTTAATTTTTCAATTAGGGATGTAATTCACGAAAAAATAAAAAAATTAAGGTTTTTGGTGATTCAAATCGATCATAACTCCTAAACTAAAAGTGATGGGGCAAAACTTTATTAATAAATTTTGTTCGTTATAAACCCTAAAAGATATGTTTCTTAACCGATTTTATTCCAACTCTCTTAATTTTTCAATTACATCCTTATCACGAAAAAACTCAAAAATTAAGATTTTTGGTGATTCAAATCGATCATAACTTCTAAACTAAAAGTGATGCGGCAAAACTTTATTAATAAATTTTGTTCGTTATAAACCCTAAAAGATATGTTTCTTAATCGATTTTATTCCAACTCTCTTAATTTTTCAATTACATCCCTATCACGAAAAAACTCAAAAATTAAGATTTTTGGTGATTCAAATCGATCATAACTCCTAAACTAAAAGTGATGGGGTAAAACTTTATTAATAAATTTTGTTCGTTATAAACCCTAAAAGATATGTTTCTTAATCGATTTTATTCCAACTCTCTTAATTTTTCAATTACATCCCTATCACGAAAAAACTCAAAAATTAAGATTTTTGGTGATTCAAATCGATCATAACTCCTAAACTAAAAGTGATGGGGTAAAACTTTATTAATAAATTTTGTTCGTTATAAACCCTAAAAGATATGTTTCTTAATCGATTTTATTCCAACTCTCTTAATTTTTCAATTACATCCCTATCACGAAAAAACTCAAAAATTAAAATTTTTGGTGATTCAAATCGATCATAACTCCTAAACTAAAAGTGATGGGGTAAAACTTTATTAATAAATTTTGTTCGTTATACACCCTAAAAGATATGTTTCTTAATCGATTTTATTCCAACTCTCTTAATTTTTCAATTACATCCCTATCACGAAAAAACTTTAAAAATTGATTTTTGGTGATTCAAAATCGTCATAACTCCTAAATAAAAAGTGATGGGGTAAAACTTTATTAATAAATTTTGCTCGTTATAAATCCTAAAAGATATGTTTCTTAATCGATTTTATTCCAACTCTCTTAATTTTTCAATTACATCCCTATCACGAAAAAAACTTAAAAATTAATTTTTGGTGACTCAAAATCGTCATAACTCCTAAATAAAAAGTGATGGAGTAAAACTTTATTAATAAATTTTGCTCGTTATAAACCCTAAAAAATATGTCTCTTAATCGATTTTATTCCAACTCTCTTAATTTTTCAATTACATCCCTATCACGAAAAAAACTTAAAAATTAAGGTTTTTGGTGATTCAAAATCGTTAATTGAAATATATATTAACGCAATAATAAAAAGTATATTAATGTTAATCGCCTTTATTTTTATTTATTTATTTTGCAGGAGGGTTTTACAGATCCCCCAAGTGTTTCTTTAATAAGTCGACTGCTACGTGGAGGATCGAGAAGAGAAGATATAGAAGGCAAAAAGGATTATTCAATAGATGGAATTTTAGGTGGTGAGTACCTTTTTATAGTAATTTTCCGTGACTTGAAAATGAAACTGTTGTATTTTGCCATCTGTAATTCTCGTTCAACACTCGGCACGTTTTCTTCATCTCGGATTACTCAAAGAACTCGGACCGACACGATTTTATCGGCATCGGTCCGTCTGCACCTCGTTAAATCGGCTCGGATTATTAAGAGTCTTTCTTGCGCCGCGCTAGTTTGTTGGTTGTTTGAGCGGCAATCGCACGTCCAATTTGTCGCCGAAATCGATTCGAACTTTCTTTTGATCTTTACCGATTACAAACAGCGAAGAAAAATCATATTTTTAATTTAAGTTAACTTAACTATCTTTTTATTTTTTTTAATTAATCAGTTATGGTAATTAGGTGTAAGCATAATGTTTAATTATAGAGGTGGTGCTTCGAACTTTCATGGTTAATTAGTTAGAAATGCCAGGTGATGTGGATATGCGAACACATGCGCTAAACCGCGATGTTTGTATGCCTCGTAAGCCAATCGAAACTAATTTTAGGCAATATCCCGACCATAAAAAGTGCTTAGTTATGTTGGACTTTACCTATAAAATCGTAATTGCCGTTTAAATCGCTGGTAATTACTCGTTTTCCACCATCGATTTTTGATATTATTTGTTACAGCAAAAAGGAAAAACTTCCTAGATAGACTCTATTCAGAGTAGATTGCATCTCGAACAATGACGACATTAACCAATCATTTCCAGTGGGAACATGCACGCCCACGTTCTCGGTGCACAGCTATTATTAACAACGTTTCATCCATGAGGCTGCACATGACAAACGTATAACCTCATTGAGAACGTACAGAACAACCCACACATATCACGTTCTATTTCAGGAGTTGTAGCGCCAAAAATTTTACAAAAAAAAATTCTTTTTATGTGGTCGTTGATATCTTTTTGAATGGATGAAAGAAAAAGGAGAACTTGGTAGGTCCGAACACGTGTGGTGTGTAGAACTTTAATATAGCGCGGCTCATTAACATATTAGGAGGGTTCGGTTCTCGTTTTTGGTTTTTATTTTTTCTTTGAAGTGACCGACGTCGATGACGCGTTTGTTGGAGGTGAATAGGTCGAAATGATCCCTCGGCTCTTGAAGTACGATTTGTTTCTTTCGGTAAAAATTTAAGGTCTAACGCGCGATACATCGTCATATTGCCATGTTACAGTTCCAATACCGTTAAAATATTCGCACAACAAGTCTCTGTTCTTCTGGAACCTTCTTGCCGCTTTGTTGCTTCCAACCCATCCTATATTTTGGTTCAGCTCGCCACTGACCATTCATAATTTCCCCTGACTCTGACTGAATAATATCACCATATTCTGGAGGACAGTACCTTTCGTTTTGCCGTTCAATACGAAGGAAGTGATGTAAAGCTACTGTGGCTTTTACAATATTTTCTACTACGTCTACCCTAGCTATGATTGGCCTCCGTAGAATTCGCCACCGCTGGCAGAGTATACCAAAGGCATTTTCAACGGTCCTCCTTGCCCTGGATAAACGATAGTTGAAAATGTTTTTTTCTAGCTCTAAGTTCTCAACGTTGCATCACCCACAACAAAATGTGGAAGTATAATGTTGTTTCCAGGCAATTTCTTTGGAAAAGGGATATCTATGTTTCCATTTAAAAAAGCTCTCCCGAAAGAAGATTCTTTAAAGATAGTGCTGTCATCATTTCTTCCACTAGCTCCAATATCTGCTATAATGAAATTATAATCCGCATCTACACATGCCATTAAAACAATGCTGAAGGTATGTTTATAATTGAAGAACTCACTTCCCGATGCTTTTGGTGCTTGCATATGGATGTGTTTCCCATCAACAGCCCCGATACAGTTGGATATGCTTTTTTTTTTGTAGAATGTATCAATAATTTTATTACTTAATTCTTAAAGCTAAAACAATCGGTCGTAACGTCACGCATGCGCACGTTACGTTTGCTTGCGCGTTTTGTATTTTATTGTATTAAGGTTGTTGTGCGTTATTGTTTCGACAATTATTTCAATGGAGTCAAATGCGGACCAAATTGACTCAAAATTAATAGAGAATATTTTATTAATATAAAAAATTTAAGGTCTAACGCGCGATACATCGTCATATTGCCATGTCACAGTTCCAATACCGTTAAAATATTCGCACAAGTCTCTGTTCTTCTGGAACCTTCTTGCCGCATTGTTGCTTCCAACCCATCCTATATTTTGGTTCAGCTCGCCACTGACCATTCATAATTTCCCCTGACTCTGACTGAATAATATCACCATATTCTGGAGGACAGTACCTTCCGCTTTGCTGTTCAATACGAAGGAAGTTATGGAAAATTTAATGAATTTCGTTGTTTTAAGTAGGTAGTGGTAACACTTCCGAATCGGAGCATGTTATAGAAAAATTTTTAGATCAAAAGTTGTTGCAAATTTTATTCTTAACAATATTGCTCTCTTGCATTTTTGCTCTCAGATGCGTCAATATCGAGAAAAATACAAAAATATGAAAATTTACTAAATTTCCTTTTTTACTATTAGCTAATATGGAAGCGCATATAAATGGCACCCCCCATATTTTATTACTTAGTCGTCTTCGGCGTCGAACTCATTGAGAAGGCTTGTTTTTCATGGCACACTAGGCTAAATATCCATATGATATGTGTGCATTTTTCAAAAGACCATAATTATCTCCCAAACTATTAATGTTAGGTATGGGACATATGGACTATAAAAGATGCAGAATGAGACACCGAAGACGACTAAGTAATAAAATATGGGGGGTGCCATTTAAAAAAATGAAGTGTATAAAAACCTGTATAATAACTATAAAAAAAATTGTGAAAAATCGATTTCTTACAATATCATCAAGATACAGTTACCAATTATCAATTAAAGCACCCACTTTTCAATGGTGATGCCCATTTTGAGGTAACTATTTTAGTTTTCGAGATATTCATTTTGAGCACAAACGAAATCGATTCATTCACAAATAACTATAAACCTTTTACCAAGTATCACCAAAATGCTCAATCTCACTGTAGCATGCTGTGCACACGACATGTAAAAACAAGTTCGTGTTGCTAAACAAAATTCAATTCATTCAAATCATTATATTCAACTGTGTAAGGTTCTTTATTAATATTTTATTTATATATACCCACACTCACTTTAAAATAATCCAATTTTGAATGTTTTACGTTCAATTGACTATGATTCTTTCTTTCTCGTAGCTCTCTTTGATTTACCGCCGCTGACACAACAACAAAACCTTTACACGATTCTTTGTACGTTTCTTTGCGGCGTTTTCACCGTTTGATCTTTCTTTCAGTGAGCGAACTCGGTGAAGAGATGCGATTTGTATATTTTTGATGTTTTTGGGGGCCACCGGCGGTGTGTATTGTTCGTAAATGGGGTGTTTAGAGATCTTTTCGGCGGTGTACGAAAAGAAGTTTCTCTTTTTGGCATCGTCCCCCATCGTTTTTGCTGTGACACATCTCCATAGTTGGGATAAAAGAAATCGTTTCTGTTAGAAATTAAAAAAGGAAGGAGAAAAAAATGATGGGTGATTTAAATTTTTAGATTTAGCTACTTGTTAGAGTACTACTGGTGTTAAATTTTCTGTTGGGTTTAAGAAGAAGAGCGAAAAACCACGAGGGTGTGTCAGGGTTCCTCTGCGGCACACCACAAGCCGACCGTCGTCGCATCGTTAACAACCCGAACACATTGAGGGCGTCGCCGCCGCGCCGCCTTCGGCGTACTTGATCTCCCTTTGGAGACTCCGAGTACAAGAAACCGAGAAGAAGAAGAAGAAGGAGGAGGAGGTTGTAACTCACGATTAACTCTGACGTTTATGCTTCGACCTAACACACGTTTTTATTTATTTTCTAAAACAGTTTCATCCAAATCTAAAATTAAAAAAAAAATTTGAATTAATTTATTTTTATATAATCAAATGTTAATAATAAATTCGCAATCTCGATAAAAAATCGTTTAAAATGAGCCCAAACACGATGAGTTTATCTTCAAAAATACACTTGATTAAACATTTTGACATTTCATAAATGTCATGTGTCAAATTTGACAGTTTAAATATTAAATTTAGAAATATCAGTTATTTAATCATGAAAATTGACAAATTTAGTATTAAATTATAAAGTGAACGTTAAATTTGACAGGTTGAAAGTAAAATTTCAATTTTTATATACTGAAGTATCATATTTAACGTTAAATTCGTAATCGCGACGAAAAATCCTTTAAAATGAGCCCAAACACGATGAGTTTATCTTCAAAAACAACCAAGATACGCTTGTTTAAAAATCATTTTGACAGGTTGTGTCAAATTTGACAGATGTAATTTTTTGATCAAAACACAATTAATTTTTAAATCAAATTTGATTTTTTATATCGACACATTCCAAATTTAGTGTTTAGGTGAAAGTCATATTTGACAGGTTAAAAATAAAATTGACATTTAATGTTCATATTGGTCAATTACACTTTAAATTAATAATTAAGTGTTATGTTGATAAGATGACAAAATAAGACGACATTTTCAACTCAATCTGTCACTTTAATGTTTAAACTGTCAAATTTGACACATGACAATGACAAGTTGTGTACTAAAATAATCGTATCATGTCATCAAATTGACATTTAATTATTAATTCGAAGTATAATTTCCCAATTCGAGTGTTAAATGTCAATTTTATTTTCAACCTGTCAAATTTGACATTCGCTTAATAATTTAATCTGCAACATGTCGATGTAAAAATCAAATTTGAGTGATTGGAAGGAAAAATAATTGAATCCAAATTACGTAAGTGACATTTCCAACTTAATCTGTCACTTTGATGTTTAAACTGCCAAATTTGACACATGACAATGACAAGTTGTAAAACAAATAATAATCGTATTTTGTCATTAAATTGACATTTAATTATTAATTTAAAGTTTAATTTCCCAATTTGAATGTTAAATGTCATTTTTATATTCAAC